TTATAATTTAGTAAAAACTAATAATTTTTATATGAATATAAATTAGGTGCATCTAATAAGTTTTAAAAAAAAAAAATTAACTAAAATATAAAAGAAGTTTAAAAACCCCCCCCCCCCCCAAAAAAAAAAAAAAAATCCAACACACACACACACGCCATATATCTAGTAATATATGGCTAATTTTTAATTTATAAAAATTTCTGACACTAAATCTCAACATTTAGTCTCAGCTAATATATGCAACTCACACACACAAGTTAAATTTCGTCAAACATACGAATTAAGCAACATAGCAATTACGGAAAAATCCAACCTTTATTATTGCATCAACAATTTACAAAGGAAAGTCAAATATTAAACTCTCAAACATTTGATGATTTCGAGTTTGCATGGCTATACCTATATATAGGCTATAATCAGAACATTTGAAGTTCATACAGGCTACAAAATATAAGGGACACATGCCATCTGTCATGGTAGTTGACACTTTCAACTGCCAAGGGATTAAGACAGATATGAAACAGGCCTACAGAAATAACTGTCACCAACTGCTCTTTTATTTTAACATTCCTTGTTCTTTGCCAGTATGTCTGATTCTATGCATAACCATCCATAACTGTACATATATCTTAGGAAGCTTTTGTCTTGGCTTAAACAATTTTGAATTTCTCAAGACACTAGCCAAACAGAGCCTGAAGTACCATCTGTTGGCCTTAGTTAAGTCTAACCGCCTTGCTACCCAGCCAAGTTGTGCACTACGCCTTGCTATCTAGCCAAGTCAAGTTTGAAACCCCCAAGTATGCTGCAGATTAGCATTAAGGTCATATTAATGCCTCGCACGTGCCATGTTGTCCATACTTTGGCCAAAGGTCGAATGCCACTAGAGGTGCAACTCCGGTGGGTTCGGTCAGATTGGAAGGTTGTCCAAGCCCAGCCCAAGTTATGCTAAGACTTGTCTAGGCCCACCCAAACCTGAATTGTAACGCGAGATTGCCTGTCCAAGCCCGACCCCAATTAAACCCAAATTGCCTGAATTGTAAATGAATTTCAATTTTTTTTTACATTATTAAACTATTAAAATTTGACTATATATATATATATTTAATAGAAAATCATTAATACTATCAAAACAAATAATTTATATAATGTAAGAGATGCTGCTATAGTAGTCTTTACAATTTATGAGTAAAAAAAAAAGTAAGGCTTTGTTTGGTAGAGCTTTGGAACTTTAGTTCCACCCTTTGGTTTGCACGTGATGTTTGTTTATGGTTTTTAAAAATTAATTTCACACTCACTTTTGAAAACTCTGTATAAGGCGAGAAAATTTGGACTAACCGAACGTCCCATCGGTTGTTCGGCCGATTAACCGGAACAATGCATAATTTTATTTTTTATTTTTTTTTACAATTGACACGTGTTAATTTTTATATATTCAATAAAAAATATTTTCTGAATTTTTAAAAAAAAATTATGAGTTTTGACTAGAATTTTGAGTTGTATGTTTAGTTATGAGTTGTAAATTTTTGTATCAAATATCATATGTCACATCAAAAATTTCTTACTCAATTCAAAACTCATTTACCAAATAAATTTTCTACACTCAAATCATAATTTCAAAACTCACAATCTCAAAATATAACTTTATTCTCAAATCATATTTAGAAAACTCTACCAAACGTAAGCTTTATCTTTTTAGTTAATTTTGTTAAATAAAAAATTTTAAATTATTTTAATATCATGTAATGGCTAATAATTTATATATATTTAATATTTTTATATATCTATATATGTATAATTCAGGTTTTGGGTTGCTTGGATTATTTGACGTCTTTGCCTAAGCCCGCCCAAATTTAATTTGAACTTTTGAATTTTTGTCCAAACTCGTACCAAATTTGAAAATATCTTGTTCAAGCCCTAAAAGAATTCGGGCTAAGTTCAGGTTGCTCCAATTGAGCCCACCCAAGTTGCACCCCTAAATGCCGCCGCTGAATGACACAACTGATTGCCCACCTTATTGTCTTGACATGCCTCTCTCATGCTGTGGTCCAGGCCTGACATAGGTGCAAGGTGTCACTAAGTGTCAGGCCGCCAACTCCCAAATATTAACATGCTAACAGTAGAGTTCCTCCACAATCCTACTTAATACTGGTGGCGGACTTAGAATTTTATTTGGGGGGACAATATTAGATAAGATTTTGACATAGATTGGTTTAGCACATAAAGTTTAATTTGGCATGATTTGATAAAACAATAATAATAATTATTAATGCTTTAAAATAATTCAGTTATGATACATTTCAATGAAAGTTTTAAAATGTTATTGTTTTTTTTTTTTTTTTTGGTTACAGGAAAATCCTCCATACCCTCCCGTAGGTCCAAGACAGCGCCCCTTACAGAGATCAACAGGGTGTTCTGTTAGCCGTTCCGAGCGAGGAGACTATAATCTGGGAATTTGCCCTGACCTCCCAAGACAAGCTCTACTTAAGTTAGGACTCACACAGCGGGGAAACATTGAACCCACACCAAGTGCTAATTAGACAATTTGAGGTCCAACTTCCACATTGAACCCACACCAAGTGCTAATTAGACAATTTGATGTCCAACCTCCTAACCAACTGTGCTTCGCCCGGGAGATTGGCGCAATGAGGAGGGAATTGAACCTATAACCTTAGAGCTTAAATCTCAAGCCTTAACCACAATGCCACCCATCCTGGATTTGTTACTATTGTTATCATAACCACTATCCTACTGTCACTACTACTATCTTACCAGCCACCACCTCACCTTAACATCACTGTTATTACCATCACTATAATATTATTTTTAAATTTGCAATTGAGCACTTTTTTTTTCTTGATGATATTATTTTTCATTACTTTTAAAAATGATTTATCATTCATTAGTGCTATTAAACGTTTGTTTACCAATGGAGCCCATTAGTGTGAGAAAGCTAAGCCAAGCTATGAATAAATCAAAAACTCCTTGATTTTTTTATTTTTTATTTTGTCGGTAAGTAATTAAACACATTGACTAATTTTGCACCACTCAAAATAAGTAAATAAATCACAGACCATGTCATTTCATTTCATCACATCATTCGATGATATTGGTTGGCCACACAATTGAGCACAAATTTTGTACATATGCAATTTGTGAGCCACTCTTGTGCATAGTTGGAGCTACATATGTGTCATGATCATGATATGATAGAGACAACATATGCAACAGAATTGCCTCTAGGGCCACTACTTTTCAAGATTTGATTGATTTACTTGGGGAGTGTTTGAGCAATTTATTCACTCGAGTGGACTTGACCATATAACAAATAAATTTTTTTACACAATTCTAGTTATAATTTTTGTGTCTTTAATTATAATTTATTACAGTATGTTATTAATTATAATTTATTATAATATTAATTATAATTCAAAAATTCTTTATTACATTTTATATGGTATTTGATTATAACTCAAATTTTTTTTAATTATCACTTATATAATATTGAGTTATGTCATTTGTGATAATTAAGTGGTGTTTTGAAAAGTTAGTAAAAAGTTGACTTTTTAACTTTTTTGGTAACTTTTTTGACAAAAAACTAGGTAGTTTTGGGTAAAACAGTTGATTTTTTTGGCTAAAAAAATTAAAAAGTTAAAAAATTGACTTTTTATCATTGTTCCCAAAATGACCCTAAATTCATAAATAACATAACTTGCATATGATAGTATTACCTTTTATTTAATTCATATTGTGATGTGTTCAATTTAAAATTTTAAAAAAGAATAATAGTATAAAAAAAAAAAGGACTTGTTAAGCTTATTTGTATATTTATTTTTATGAAATATTATTTTTACAATATTTTATATAAAAAATTATCTTCAATTCGACAAATCATGTACCAAAACCAAGTTAAATTTTTTTATGCACACACATCGGTCCTCTAAACTTTGCAAGAGTAAATTATACCCGTAATTCTTATTTTATGTAGTTAGGGCATATTTGGTTAGCAAGATTAGAGTATGAGATTGAAATTATTAATTCGTAAGCCTAATAATCCTGTGTTTATTTTAAAATTTTGTTTCAGAATTATTAATCTAATATTATTAGTAACGGAGTAGGGTTAAGATTATATATTCTGAGTTAGGAAATAAAATAAAAAAACTCTTTTACTTACTAATTCAATACAAATCAAACAATGAATAAAGGGATAATTTATCTTACTAATCTAATTGATAGTAAATATTACACTAATTTAATGAAATTATTAATGCATTCACTATTAATCTTCTGATTCAAACATAGCTAGTATACTAGAGTATACTAGATTGTATAAATATTATACAAATGCAAGGTTGTTGATTGTGCATGACTGCACAAAACCATCATGAAATGGTTACTCAAACCATGGAAAGCATTTTGGTTTGCACAAAAAGACAGCAAGACAAATAGCCAAGGCCTCAGCCAGAGCGTGGCCGTTTAAAGGGCCAGTAAGCACAGCAATATTCCCATATCCCAGTATTTATGAGTTCGTTTGGCATGAAACTTTGAGTTGGATTACAATTATTTTAGCCATAAAAATATAAAACAAACTTTTTAACTTAATAAAATAAAATATCACATTTAAATCGTAATTATTTTATTTTCTTCTCTTATAAAAGTCAAAAAAAATCAAAAAAATCTCAAACAACTTTTTAATCCCAAATTAAAATATCCAAAAAACCAACTCACATCTCAAACGAAGGCTATATATACAAAATTAATTTTTCAAGAACCAAAATTGCAATCTAACAAGAAAATTCAGCTCAAAAAATTGAAAAACCAAAAAACTCATCTCAAACAACTTTTTAATCTCAGATTAAAATATCTAAAAAATCAACCCACATCCCAAACAAAAACTACATAATACAAGAACAATTTTCCAAGAACCAAAATTGCAATCTATCAAGAAAATTCAGCTAAAAAAATCGATATTTTTCAAAAGGTAAAATAATGATAAATGATAAAAAAAAAAAATTGCATTTGATATCATTGGAGGGTCAACCCTCAACTTCAGACATGTCCTTGTGGGTAACGAAATTATTAAAAAAGGAAGCTACTCTAAACTTAAATGAAAATTTTTCTATGAGAAACTACAACTTCAACATTGTATTCCTCTACAACACCCTCCCCCACCTAGCCCTCACTAAAAACCAAAATATAAAATAAAAATAAAAATTGTCATTTCCTATAATTTTTTGCTCCTAAAAGATGGAAATAAATAAATAAAAATAAGTGCATGAAATTAATAATACAATCAAGCCCAGATTGCAAGTAAAGACATCAATCCAGCCCCAAGGAAGAGTGCAAAATATGATACGACTTGCAGCCTCACATTGCAGCTCATCCTCTTGCTCAAGAAATCAGCTGCAATTAAGTCCACCAAAGCCATGTAGACTAGAATTCCGGCAGATATGGAATCCAATGTGCCTTCAATGATCAGAGCTCGGGGGCTATCAGGGTTATAAAATGATGAAATCCCGGTTCCAATCGCAATCCCCATCGGGGTCGTGAAGGCAAAGAAACAGGCCATTAGTGTTGTATGGAGGGTCCGAAACTGTGCTTGGGATATGCATCCTCCGAGCGCAAATCCTTCAAAGAACTGATGGAATGATAGTGCTGCTATCAGGGGTCTTATGGTACAAGGGCTTTGTGAAACTCCGAGTGAAAGCCCGATAATGATTGAATGTGATACAATCCCAAGTTCAAGAACCTGCAAAAAAGAAGAGGACAATGCTCAACACAAGTTTATAAAAGCCAGGTTTTCAATTGACTCCACAAAAAATTGATCCTAGATGTGTGGAAAAATTCAAATGAACATTGGTTGAGCAGCAATGAAGATCAATACTTAGAAAACACACCAGCACTATAACTGTGTCGAAGACAAATCACAAAACAACGTTGAATACAATAAAACAGATGTCAAGTGAGTTTATGAACCACCAATACCGGATGCCCCAAATAAAGAAAGCAAGAAAGATGAATTGAGTTTATTTGCATTGGACCAAGTCCCGTTTGACAAATGTCAAGTGATCGTCAACCGAGCATCTAACTACTACTATTTCTTGTCATTTATTTTTTCGGGCATTTCTTTTAACCAGCCATTGAGAGTGGAACTCATCCATCTAAGATAAAATTCAAACCAATTTCCACTCGAAGGTACTGAATAAAAAAATCCAGTCCCTTACAATGCAAATTGTAGGGTCTATATATACATACAAGTCATTGTTTCGATGAACTCAGAACATTTTTTTTTTTTTGACAGATAAGCAAACTTTATTAAAAAAGCATTAAGGCAACACAAAAAATACAAGGAAAACAGCAGCCCACGCTGGCCGCAAAAGCTAACTAATCAAATCCTCCACAAGATATACAAAAGTCAAAACATCAGGATCTACCGACCTAGTAACCCAACTATGCAACACCATAAGAAGCCTACTTTCCAACCAAAGAAGTGAGCGACACAAATCTTGAAAAATGCGTCGATTACACTCCAACCAAACCAACCATAACAAGCGATGGGAAGCAAGTAACTAAATGCAAGTCAATGTCAGCAAAAGCCTTGCAATGCCTATCGTAAAGTTGACACTTAAAAATGTCATGTCATAGGATAAATCACAAGGGGTAATTCTACCTGCACACAATTTTTCACAAAAGTTACACGGTCATGAACAAAATTGTTTGTGGAACTTGTGTAAATTTCTGTGAAGTATTTTGAGTGCATAGGCATTTTTGAATCACAATAGTCAAAACTGCAAAACCAAGCACCAAAATTTGTTGAATCAACATGAAGAGTGTCCCTATCAATTGCATTTAACTCTACACGTATATTACCTAAAGCCTACTTATAGGCAACTCACTAGGCGAGGTTTGAATCCTAGCTTGGAGCAGGCAACAAAATTCCGGATACCATCTACAACCACATGCCTCTCTGGCTATCTATTCTTATACTTCAAGGGTAAATGTAGCCAAAAACTTAGCTCAAATTGACAATTCTGAATGTTAATTGGTTGTGGTGTCTTGGCAAAATAACTATAGTTCTCTGCATGACACTTCCAAGAATCGAAAGAAAGAGTTGTAATTCTATTCACTTCATTTGAAACTAATAAACAACATTTTGCAAGTCTAAACTAAGAAAAGTCCAAATATAGATGCAAATAAACTAAGCTGAATATTTTTATGAAATTGCTACTTTTCGCTATCAAGGCACAAAAATGGCCCGTCTTTGTTTGGCACCTAGTTAATACAAACTTAGTGAAGGGGCAATATCAACTTTGGTCAAAGTGATTAAACTAATGTGATACCCACTAAGCAAGTTTGTCCTTCCTACTCAAAATTCGTATTAATTTAGTGAAAAAGACTCCATCAAGCATATAGTATATTAGTATTGACACATAATAGATTGAATGCAAAATTATTAGACCAAAATGCCACATCTCCACCAAGCATATACTATAGTAATATTATAAAGTGTTGACAATTCAGAGAGCAAATGTAAAATTACCTGCGAAACAACAACATGCCTCGCACCGCCCTCCTCGTCCCCATCTCCAAACCCGTGCGAGTGTGAGTGCACGTGTGAGTCGTGCGAATGCTCCCTCACATTCCCTTCACACGCATCCTGCCCATGTGGATGGTTGTGTCTATGGTGCGCTGCGTGCGCATGTATCCCCACAATGTGAATACCACCGCCTTCCTCTTCTCCAAACACCTTCCCATTCCTCTCCACATCCACAATCCCCGACTCGGCCTGGGCCGCTGAGTCGACCGAGTCAACCCGGGCAAGTTGACCTGCTTTCTGCTTCTCCTGTTTCCGCTCGTAGTACTGGGTTCCGACAAAGTCCACCAGCAAAGTCGCCAGTGCAGACATCATAGCAAAGAACCCGGAGAACGGGAACTTCAACCAGGGGTATATGGGGAGGCACGAGTCAGTGAGCGCTGCTGTGGCGTCCGGTAACATGTGGACGAAGCCGGTGGCGAGAATTACACCAGCGGCGAAGGCTTTCGCAGCGAAAAAAATGTTGGAGTCAGTGCGGAGAAAGCGGCGGTTCTTGCCCACCAAGGGTATGGTGACGCCGCCGACGCCGGCAGTGAGGATGGCGGCGATCGCCACCATTTTGAGGACAAAAGCAACGGACTCGTCCCGGCAGGTTTCTAAGGCGGCAGTGCCGCCATCGCCACCGCGGCAACCGGAGTTGGACATGGATTGGGAGAGATTCTGCAAAAAGGAGTCTTTTTTGGGCCCCCACAAAACAAGACAATCCCAAGTTTTAGAACCCATGAAAATTTTGGTGATTACTGCTCTGCATGTGTGCTGAGAAAATGTAGGAAAAGAAAATGGACGTTTTCTAGGAAAGTGACAAACTTTCTTGTGGAATAAACCCTAAATACAATTGGAAGTTAGTTTCCAAATCCCCTTGTTGGTTACCGAGAAAACGTAATCGGCAAAAGAAAATACATGCAGAGGGTAAAGCCTAAATTTCCTTAAACAGCCAATAACATTAAATCGATATGAATGTAAAACTCTCTCTCTAACCAATTTGGCTAAAAAGAAATGTTTGAAATTACTCGCAAACCTCATTTTAAAATGAGAGCTCATGTGATCTTTACTAGATTAAACAAAAAAATCGAATTCAGAGAACAACATTCCTCCCTAATTCAAACACAAATTGACTTCAGATTCTCCTCAAATTTTCTGGGAAATTCAAAAAAAGTGGGAAAATTTCGTCTTACCTGAGAAAATCAGAGCCTTCTCACCAATTTCGCCGAGACCCAGGAAAGGCAAGATATCCTAAACAAGACAAAACTCGTTAATCACAAAACACAACACACATATCTATATATATATATAGAAAGAAGAGATGGTGATGAATGACGTAGTGGGTATCGAAAAGCAAACCTCAATCAATAACATGGTTGAGGAATTAAAAAGAAAACAAGATTTTGGGTTTTGCGGGGTTAATCAATTTGAGAGAGAACGCAACACGAATCTCTATATAGTGGTGTATAGACTCGGTTGGTTTGGGCGAGAGCGAGAGCGACACGATGAGATGGGTCGATTGGGGATGACGATGGTGATCGTAGAATGCCCAAAGAAATACGCCAAAGAAAGGGGTTTGATTCGAGCTGATGAAGAGAGAGAAAGGGAGGGAAAATGTCGACATATTTGATAACTTTGGAGTGGCATCGGTGGGTTAGATCGTTGAAACTCGAAACAGGTGATGACGTTTTGCAAAGAGGATGAGTGATATTGTGTCGACATTTTCTCTCTCTCTCTCTAGAATTGTTTATATATACATTGTGGCTGTACTTATTATTTATTGGGCTCAGCTTCCGGAGGTGAAGAGAGTTAGTTTTTAACTTTTTATCAATTTTGAGTCATATTATTTTTTATATTTTTATTTATAAAAATATAAAATAAATTACAAAAATTAAAAAATTAATGTTTTACTAATTTTTCAAAATATTTCTAAGATTGGATTCCTCCAAGTTCAACTCATGAGTTTATTTTTAGGTTTTATTTTGATAATTTGAATTGTTTAATGTGTAAAATTCATCGAGTATTATCTCTATAAAAAATCAAATTTATTGGATATCGATAGGTATTTGATTGGATCAGAATTTTGTCAATAATTTATTTTTCATCGTTTATTTTTTTAATACAAATCTGATCCGATCAAATAGCTATCGACATTTGATCAACGTGATTTTTTACATGGATATAGTATTCGACGAGTTTTACAAATTAAGGCCAAGTTTGGAAAGACTAAATAAGTGTACTTTTTGACTTTTTATGAAATATGAGTTGGATTTGGGTTGGGTTTAAAGTGATGTGTTAGAGAGGTGATGTGACTTAAGAGCAATGGTAGAGGGCCCAAATTCTGTGGCTCAAATGTGGCTCAAATGGCCAAAACGACGTCGTTTTGAGTACAAAACAACATCAAAATTGCCAAAACGACGTCGTTTTGGCCATTTGAGCCACATTTGAGCCACAGAATTAGGGCCCCCAAACATTTTTCGATTGTGTGACTTAAGCCTCCGTTTGGCAAGGGCTTTTTCAGGCTTTTTTGGCTATTTTAGCCACAAAAAACAAAATAGGTTATTTTAGCCATAACAAACAAAACATCACATCCAACCCATAATCATTACACTCTTCTCTCACAAAAAAAGTCAAAAAAACTAAAAAATCAAAAAGTCCTTCCCAAACCAAGCTTTTTAGCCTAGGCTAAAATAGCCAAAAAAGCCAAAAAGCCAACTCACTTCCCAAACGGAGGCTAAATAGGATAGTGACTTTTTAACTTTTTAGATTTTTTGGAGGATGCCAAACTTGGCCTAAACGATCTAAACTATCGAATCACGGCTCAAAAATCGACCCATAAGTTAGACTAGACGGTCCAGTTTTGATCTCAATATAAGACAAGTTAGACCATGTTTTAATTTTCAGATTTTTTTTAATTTTTTTTTATTTTTTGTATTTTATTTTTATTTAATTTTTTTAATATTTTAAATAATTTTTTAATTTTTAAATATATCTAACATAAATACATTTAAGAAATATAATCTTTATAAAAAAAATATTTAAAAAATCTACTAAATACCAAAAATATAAAAATTCAATATATTTTTCTTAGTTTTGTGTATTTATTAATTTTTTAAAATATTTTTTCACAAATATTTTACTCTTTAGATATATCTAAATAAGGTGAATCCAAAAAATAAAAATAAAAAAATTGCTTAAAATTTAAAAAATATGCACTAAAAACAAAAAATATATGAAAAATAAAAAACTCAATTTTCAAAAAATTAAATTTAAAAAACTGAAACCAAACATACTAATTATTTTATTTTTTTTAATTGACATATCTATTCCTTGTGATCCAGTGTTAGCCTCCGTTTGATAATAAAAATTAAAAATTAAAAATTAATTGATTTTTTGGAATTGAAACTTTTTTTTAGTTTCGAGTTAAAAAGTTTTTAATTTTATGAGAAAAAAATTAAAATAACTATAGTTTGAATATAATATTTTGTCTTATTAATTTATTTTATCTTTTGTGCTTTTTTAGGCCTCACTTAGATAACCAAACAAAGCCTTATTAAGGAGTGTCTTCGGAAGGTGGTAAAAAGTTAACTTTTTGACTTTTTATTTTTTTGGTGACTTTTTTGATAAAAAGTTAGCTTGTTTTGGGTGAAAAAGCTCTAAAAACCAAAAAAATTGACTTTTTTAATATGTTGCAAAAATGAGCCTAATACCCCCCCCCCCAAAAAATTAATGTTCCGTTTGAATAGTGAGAGGAGATGAGAAAAGAAAAATTAAAAATGAAAATAGTAATTATATTTTGATGAATAAAAGAAGAGAGATTGTAATTTCTTACCTATCTTGTTTAGATAGAGTAGATAAGTGTTTTATTTCATTTTACTAAAATAACCTTCTATATTAATAAGTTATATTTTTGTCATAAGAATAATTTTGATATTTTAAACAAGTTTTTTTAAACTTGACCTTTTTTCTCACCAAATTTCACAATTTTTAATGTGAAACAAAACATCGGTTTAGTGGGAATTTATTTCCTACCATCTCTTATCATTTCTTATCTTATTTTTCCATCTAAACCAGTAAAAAGTTTTTTAATTTTCGCCATGTTTTTCCCTCACCAATTCCCTGCAGTTAAACAGAGTGTAAATTTGATTCTTCGTTTTTTCTTCTTAATTATCACATCCTTTGAGATTTAAAAAAAGGGACTGGATGTTTCTAGTTGGTATTTTAATTAAACAGTTTAGTCCGACTCATTTTGAGCTTATTTTGATAATTTAAATTATTTAATATGTAAAATTTATTAAGTATTTTATTTTTATAAAAAATTATGTTAATTAGATATTAATAATTACTTGATCATAACACATTTGTGTTAATAATTTATTTTTAAAATTTTACTTACAATTGATACATATTTAATTTACTCAAATAATTGTCAAAATTCAATTAACATAATTTTTTACATTAATAAAAATTTTAACGAATGTTACATATTAAAATATTCAAATTATTAGGGTTGGTTTGGGATGTCCTAAAAAAGTGTACTTTTTGACATATTGGTGGGTTTGGGTTGGGTTTGATGTGATATGTTACAGAGGTGGTGTGATTTAAATAAGATGATGTGATTTAAATAAGATGATGTGACTTAAATAACATAGTGACTTTTTGACTTATTTAGTACATGCCAAACTAGCCATTAATATTGTGTTTTGTAGTGAGACCACAAAAATTCAACAATAAGTTGGATTTGACATGGGAAAGAAGCTACTGCCTTACGAAAAGGAAAATGTTTGAGGGTCACAATTTTTGTGGTTATAATGGTTCAAAATTGTTTTGGCATGGTTTGCACAAAAAACGACGTCGTTTTGACAGTTTTAAGCCATTGTGACCACAAAAATTATAACTCTGCATTGTTGTTACGAAAATTACCAATAATAATAATAATAATAATTCCAAATAAAGTTTATGAAATGACAAAGACATTCTCTGTTAAAACTGTCGGCTAAACGCTTGGATAAAATTAATAGTATATTATCTTTATATAAAAACACAAAAAATAACTCAGGGATGAGTGAGATTGTGGTTAAAATTTGGGGTTTAAGTCCTAAAGTCACAGGTTTAATTCCCTTTCTTCTGGACTAATCTTTTGGGTGAAGCACAGTTGGTTAGGAGGTTGGACCTCAAGTCGTCTAATCAGCACTTGGTGTGGGTTCAATACTCCCCCGCTGTGTGAGTCCTGACTTAAACGGAGCTTGTCTTGGGAGGTCATGTGGGTTCAATGCTCCCCTACTCTGCGAGTCCTGACTTAAGCGAAACTCGTCTTGGGAGGTCGGGGCAAGTTCCCAGGTTATAGTCTCCTCGCTCAGAACGGCTAACAGGACATCCTGGTGATCTCTACAAGGGGCGCTGCTTTGGACCTACGGAAGGGTAGGGAGGATTTTCTTGTAACCAAAAAAAAAATTTTAAAAAAAAAAAAAAAAAAAAAAACACACAAAAAATCTTGTTTGATTTTAAAAAATTGAGTTGTCCTTTTAAAAAAATTAATTTTTTATTTTTTATTTTTTTAGTCAAAAAATTTAATATTTGAAGATTTTTTTAAAAAAAAATTAGATACACCTAATTTAGATATATTTAAAAAATATAATATTTATGAAAAAAATCTTTACAAAATTTATCAAATACAAAAAATATATAAAAATTCAATATATTTTCATATTATTGTATATTTATTGAATTTTTAAAATATTTTTTCACAAATATTTTACTTTTTATGTGTATCTATGTTATGTGCATTTAGAAAATAAAAATTTAATTTAACATATTAAAAAAACTAAAAATACAAAAAATAAAAAATTTAATTTTTAAAAAAGCAATCAAAATCAAACAAAGTGATTAATATTTTTCATTAATCCTATAAGGGAAGCTTTTATTTACAACACTATTTTATCTCACTACACCTATTTATATTTTTATTTTATTTTTTAATAAAACCTTCAATATCACAAAGAAAATGAGTGAGAGCTCGAATGTGTAGAGCTCGAATGGCTTGAAAATATTATCTTACCGGTAAGAGAATCAAAAAATACCCTAAAACGACGTCGTTTTGGGATTTCGAGCCATTCGAGCCATTTGATTTTCGAGCTACGTAGCAGTGCCGATATCACAAATGAAAAATATTTGAGACCCTCAAAAAGTACCTACATATGTATCATTTTTTGATTTATTACATACCTAATGATAGTGAGCTCAATTCTCATGCCACATCATTATAAATGAATTTATGAATATAAAATGTAGGGGTGAGCAGCGGATATATCGTTCCGCCAAAACCGACCGAACTGAACCGATCTGCCGCATTTTGGACGGATGTGTAATGACGAGCGCACGGTTGTGGATTGATTTTCTCCAGTCTTCCAATTTGACGAACGGATGGCGGATTTGAGATTCCTTTGGCTGCAACCAAACCGCCAAACCGCGAACACCCCTAGTAATTTATAAGATTTTGTGTTTTCAATTTGTTTATATATTTTGTTTATGTTTTCAATTGAAAAAGAGTTTAAATATTCCGTTGAAAAAAAGTTTTCAACTTGAATATATTTTTTGAATTGAAAAAAATAAACGTATTATTTATCTATATTTTTTTGTTTTTAAATCTAACTCTAAAAATAATAAATAGAAAATATGATAT